AAAATATTAATTTTTTATCTAACTAGAGAGAGAGAGAGAGAGAGAGAGAGAGAGAGAGAGAGAGAGAGAATCAATGATAATCATTGTTTTTTTCCTTTTTCGGTTGTTGTTCTGATATCGAAAAAAACAAAACAAAAACGTTTTTTTATCAATCAATCCATTGATTGATTGATTGATTGATTGATTTTTGTTGTGAAAAAATTTGACGCCTGTCAATAAATTTGATTCATTTTTTTTCTCCAGTTTGTGTGTTGATTTCTGATTGACATCTTGATAGTTGTTGTTGTTGTTATTTTTTTGATTGATTTGATTGATTGATTGATTGATTGATCAATATATCATTAGATCTGTGTGATGGTTCTTTCAAATGTCAATATTGTTGCTGAATTTTTTTCTTTTTCCCCACTTCTCATTTTTTATTCTTGTACTGAGATTTGATGAATTTGATGTGTGTTTGTGATGTCAATCAAACAATTTTTTTGTTTTTCAAGTGTCAAATCAAAAACTGAAGAAATCATCATCAAACATCCCGCTCTGTATTATTTATGAATTTTTTTCTTTTTGAAAAAAATTTCTAATGGAATGTTGCTGTTTACGAATATAAATGTTTAACGCAAACACAACACATCAAATAAACGCGATACCATTTACAGTCACAAAAAAAAACGACAAAATGACGCCATCAAAACTACACCACTATACGACGACGACGAAGGATCATCATCATCATCAATGGTTGATGATGTTGACAGCCTCGTCAATTATCATCAACATCAAAAAAAGAAAAGAAATCTTTACAAACATATGAATGAGGATTTCATTTCATTTCATCATTTTGACTGACTGAATGACTGACTGAATGATTGAATGAATGAATGGATGGTGATGATAGCGAATAATAATAATAATAATGATGATTATGATTGACGGTGGTGGTTGATGGATCCTCACTGTGTTTTTGTAAAGATTTTTTTTTGTTTTGATGAATGATTCTCCCATTCGACCTGTGATCTTTTTTTTTGTTTTGTTTGTTGAATCGAATGTTGATCGATGATGATGATTGTCGTTTGATTGATTGATTGATTGATTGATTGATCGTTTGGGATTGAAAATGTTGTACCGAACAACGAAAAGAGTGGAGAAAAAAACATTTGATATCGATGAATGATTGGCATAGTGTTATTGATGAGATAAGGTGTATGATGGTTGGTAGCTGCCGCTTTTCTTTTCTTTTGAATTTTGTTTAGGATTATGATGCGTGGGTGAATGAATCAAATGGAGATGTTGTTATCGTTCGTTCATTCATTTCAATTCATTTTATCATCAATTTTTTTTCTACAATTTCTTTGATCACTTTTGATGGTCATAATATTTTTATAATCTTGTTTTTTTATATTATTCCTGAACACTGATTGAATTGACCATCAATTGGTTTTTCTTTTTTCATTTGATTTGCGATTGATTGATTGATTGAATGAATGATTTTATTCGCGTTGTTGTTGTTTATTTTCTCTATAATTTTCTTTTTCTTCTATAGTGATTCTCTTGAATTCAACTTTGCTATTTTGCATTTTTTTCTTCTCTCTATGTTGATCAATCAATGATGATGATGATGATCGATGATGATTATTATTATCATTATCATAATCGAAAAAAAAATTCTTCATCTTTATGAAATTCAAATCGATTCGAATCGAATAACAACAACAACAACAACAACAACATCGATTGATTGATCGATTCCGATGAGCACAAATTCTCTTTGTTCTTGATCATCGATCATTTGACACTATGATTTTTTTTCTGCTTCTTTCTCCACCACCCAATCCATCCACCCCCATTCAAAATATTGCCCTCCATATCCATCATCCGGTCTTGTTTATTTATGGCTATCCACCTCCACCCCCACAAATTCATGCACCCGTTCTTCTTTCAAAGAAAGGTCCCCCCTCTCTTTCCGTAATTCGGATGTCATTTATTGTCATCCATAAATTTTATTTCATTTTTTCTTTCTTCCCCCTCCACCACCACCATCATCATCCCCCACCAATCTAAACAAATAATTTATTGCTCCCAGAAAAAACAAAAACAAAAACAAAAAAAAAATTCAATGATGAACATCTATCATCATCATCATCATTATGATTGGTTCATATTTTTATTTATTCTTCAAACGAATATAAAATTCTTCTTCTTGAATGTAGACTTCAATGTTTTTTTTTCTCTGTTTGAATATTTATTATGATGATCAGCAGCCACAGCCACAGCCAAAATGAATGATTTTTTTCCATTTGCTGCTGCTGCTGCTTTGTTCCAAAAACAGCCAACCAAAAAAAAAAGGAAAAAAACATCAACAATTTGATTGAGCATTTTTTTTTGCTTTTGCTTTGGCAAATTCGTTGTTGGTGGGTTGTTGATTATGATGGATTAGATTTTTTTTTTTTGCTGTCAATGTTGTTGTTGTTGTTGTTGTAAGCTTAATTTATAAATGTTAAAATTGAACGAGGAGGTGGGGGGAAGGAAAACGAAAAGGGCAAATAATAATGATGACAATAATAACAACAACAACAAGAATAATGTTCCTCACCCTTATTTTTTTTCTTTGAATATTTTCATTTCATTTTTCGTTATTCAAAGTTATTTCTAGTGAAGAACGAACGAACGAAAAAGTCATCAATCAAATTAGAAAGAAGAAATTTCTAGAAAGATTTCCTTTTGATTTTTTTTTTGTCGAATCGAATCGAAATGATGAATTATCGTGTCCGTTGTATTTTTTCTTTTGGTTGTTTAAATAATCAAAAAAAAAACCTTTTTTTCTGTTTTGTTTGTTTGTTGAATACATAATTGCAACATCAATTGATTGATTGATTGATTACTTTGATTGATGATGGTTTTCTTCATTAAAAAAATGATCGATTTTTGTTTGTTTGTTTGTAATGTTTTGATCGATGTAGAATCTTCTCTTTACATCTGTATTTGACAATTTTAACTTTTAAAAGTTTTCAAGTTTTTTTTTCTCCATTGATGATGATGATCAAGATGATGATAAGAACAAATCAAATAATTTCGACATTCTTAATGTTTAATGTCCATATTTGATCATTCATTCATTCTGTCATCAATCATCAATCACCATCATTGATGATGATGATCTTCAACCATCATCTCTGCATGTGTTTTGTTGTTTTTGTTTGATTTTTGATTGTCGCCGTTGTTTGTTTATTTTAAAAAAACTAAAAAATCCTTCTTGTAATTTGAATTTTTGAATTGATTGATTCATTCTAACCTGAATAACATCTTTTTAAAAAAGAAAGAAAAAAGAAAATAAACATCAATTTTCCACACAAACACAAACACTGTTTTTCGTTTTTTTGAAAATGATGAATTAATAATGAATTTGTTTTTGTAATTATCGTGTTTTTTTCTATTGGTTGTCCCGTTTTGCTTTTACAAAGAAAAAAAAGTTTAAAAGTTGAATTTTAAACTTTTTTGATTACAGCAACAAATTTACCTGGAGCGTAGGTGGTGTATTAAAATACATTATTCAATATATAATGTGTGTGCGTGTGTTGTGTACTGGAATTGAATTTCCAAACAACAACAAAAATTCGATCCCATTCAATATTAAAATCAATCGATCATATTAGATTTCAAAGACCAAAATGAATAATAAATCTTCTTACCTATTTTTTTTACCAAGTTGTTATAGTAGTGATAGTAATGTATCGCTTACATATGTGTAAGATGGATTACATTCGTTATTTTATGACAAGCATGAAATAGTGAAACAGTGAACGAACGAACGAATTTTTTTTGTATTTTTATTTTTCCATTCAATTTTCATTATAACCGATCCAAAGTTGAAATAGATGGATCATCATCATCATGTTTTATGCTAATGAAAATTTTTTTTCTCATTTTTCATTATGAAAAATAAAATTAACTGAGATTTTCTGTTGCTGTTACGTTGTGGATGGATAAAAATGATCGATGTTTTTTTTGTTTGGTTTATCCATTTTATCGTTTGTCGTCCATTATGTGTGTGTGTGTGTGTTGTATGT